TTAACTAGTTGTTCTTTCGGTGCCGTTTAATTAACGGCACACCCAAACACAGATGCAAACGCACATGTGAAAAAAATGAGTGGGAATCACAGCAAAAAAAAAACACAATGCACAACACGCCAAAATTTCTCATGATCCACATACAGTGCAGCCCATTGAAATCAATGGGCTGCCTTATGCGTGTCATGGGTAAAACAAGCCAAAAAACTTTAGCTCCCCTTATGCAAGATATGAATGGCGCCTGCAAGTGAAATTGGTGTGTTTTTACACAAGCATAATGAGGCTCTATTCACATCTGTGTGTTTCTGAACGCATGGCAAACTACACAAAAAAATGCATGCTTTGCCTTAAACTTCAGAAATGCACCAAAAATCACAGTAAAAAAAAAAAAAAGCACTACGCTCCATTCAAAAAATAAAAAGTTCTGGAGTTTCTTCAGGGTGATTATTGCATGTAGGACAAGTGAAAATGCTCCAAAAGCCCCCCCCCCCCCCCCCAAAAAAAAAAAAATGCATGCGAGAGTTACCGCTCCGCAGAGATGTGAACAAGGCTTGATAGCTGAGTGTCTCCGTCCACTCCCTCCTATGTTCTTGTAAAAGATGGAAATACACTATGCAATCTGTACAATTTCCTTTAGATTTTCCAGAACTATGGAATAGGAGGACCCACCTATCTACCCATTCACTCTGTATCCAATCAGACAGGTTCTTGCACTATATAGTTGATGGTAGATCTAAAGGAGATGTATGGTGAACTTTACAGAACCCACAACACAAGTCTTTTGTTTTCAATACTACAGCTTTATCCACATAGGCTATTATCTGATCACTCTGCCAAATGAATGATCTAGACAAGATGAAAGTTGAAGTAGAGAAAAAAAAAAAAAAATCAATGCCTGTGTATTTAGTGAGAACAGTGATCACTGATTGATTGCATTTCATTTAACCACCTCCCACACGCCATATAGTAATATGACGGATGCAAAGTGGTTCTCTCGTTCTGGAAGAACGTCATATGATGTCCTCCCATTCTAACTGTGCATCCGCAGCTCTTGGAGCGTGCCAATCGGCGTTGCGCTGTGTCCCTCGGAAAGAGCTGAAGATGTCGGCGCGGTCATGTGATCAGCTGTGTCCAATCACAGCTGATCACATGTAAACATGAAAATACCAGTTATGGGCATTTCTCTCCTCACGAGCTGTCACGCTGACAGCTCTTGAGGAGAGGAGAGCCGGTAATCTGCATTCCTCGGAGGGGACATGTACACAGATCATCAGCACTGATGATCAGTGTGCCCTGATGATCTGTGTAGCCCCAGCAGCGCCACCTGTCAGTGCCAGCTCTCATCCATGCCACCTGCCAGTGCCCATCTGAGCTGCCTTTCAGTGTCACCCAACAGTGCCAGTCAGTGCTACCTACCAGTGCCTCCTATCACTGCAGCCTCATTAGCGCACATCAGTGGAGAAAAATCACTTAGTTTTTGTTATAAAATTTTGTAACTAAGAAAAAACTTTTTTTCAAAATTTTCAGTGGTTTTTGGTTTAAGAAAAAATAAACCCAGAGGTGATGAAATGCCACCAAAATAAAGCTCTGTCACAAAAAAAGATAAAAATTTCATATGGGTACAGTGTTGCATGACCGCGCAATTGTCAAAGTGCAACAACGCTGAAAGCTGGAAATTGGCCTGGGCAGGAAGGAGGTATAAGTGCCCTATAGGCTAGTGGTTAATATACGTGCACCTAGAAGTGGGTAGGTGTGTGCTAATGAGGTCAGCTGTGTCATTTCCTTCCTGTGACCTGACCCTAAAGTCTGTCCAGGAAGTAATGGAGAAGCCTTTTTATATAGCCATGTGGATACTGAGGTAAGGGTGTATAGAATAAATGGAAAGGTTTTGCAAAAGTACATAAATACTATATTGGTACACAGGGGAGCTGTAATTTAAAAAAAAAAAGTGAACTTACCCTTTAACAAAAGTGCTGATCAGAAGCCATTTATTACATAGTTTGTCTCCTTTTAAAATCTTAATCGAAATCACCCAAATGGCCCTGCTGGTCAAAAGTTTCCATCCCCTGGAATGCTTCGCCTTGGTACACATACACCTGTGTGAACATTGTTTTGCAAGCTATGATTTTGTGCCAATGTTGGCATGAAACACTGTAGATGCTGTGCTATTTTCTCTCATTTTTGTACTGTGGAGTGTCATTTTTGGAATATGATGGAATAAAAAGGTGATCTTAACAGATGTGTGGCCAACCAGCACTTTTTCCTAATATCATAAAAAAAAAAAAAAAAAAATCCTAGTTCTTTCATGCTCAAACCTGGCTTCTTACTTTTACCAGGTGAATGTCAAGTCTTTTGTGGATGCAGCTTTTGGCTGCAAGGTTCTTGCATAAACCGTTTTTTTTTGTTCCATTTGCCTACTTGTTGCCCTTGTAGTCATTGCATGGGGATGCCCTAAGACATATTAATGTTCGGCCTGTGTCCTGTGCAATTAAGATCAGAGGAATTTTGACTTACCTGTAAATTCCATATCTTTGAGTACAGAAAAGGACACTCCCCCAAAACCCTCCTGGTTACTCTGCTTGCTAAAAAACTGAGGAATCATGGAGTGGGGTAGGGTTATAAGGGAGGCACCCCAAGGAGAAGCCTGCCAGTGTCAAATCACCTGAAGGTACAAGCCTACAACCCATGGTGTATGAATACATGTCCTGTATGGTACTCCAGATATGGAATTTACAGGTATGTCAACAATTTATATCTGGTTTAGAAAATGCAGACTGTAAAAAGAAATGAATGTATTATTTTGATATGGCAAAAAGAAAACTATAGTACAATGTATTTGTTTACTGCTTTATTCAATAGGATAAACAGTAATAGTTCCACAAAAGTTAAGTACAAATAAGATGAGCTACTGAATCATTCTGGAAAGACAACAATCTTGGTTTTATAACACATATAGAACACATACAAAGTAACTAGTACTAAGCATGTCTTAATCATAAACAAAAAAAATATATAAATCATACATACTTGCTGTATTACATAATACAACAAAAATTGCACATGCTGACTACACTGTCAGTTTCACACAATGTAGAGAGAATCTATGACCACACAATGTTTCAACTACTGACCTACATTTCACCTCTCTAATTTATTCAGCAAAATGTTTTTGTAGATCTCCACAAACAGAACAAAAAGTGAAATAATGTGTCATACAATCAAGAGTCCGCTGAGTGCTCTTTTCAGGAAATCCAAAAAACACATGCACTTATGTTGACAGAGGTTAGATAAAACACTGCATTATTTGTTAAAATTAAGTCACTGACCTTCCCTTGTGATATTCTAGATATCATCAAGATACCCAATAGGATGGGGCTGTGATATTCTAAGATATCACCAAGATACCCAACAGGATGGGGCTGGGATATTCTAGATATCACCAAGATACCCAACGGATGGGGCTGGGATATTCTAGATATCACCAAGATACCCAACAGGATGGGGCTGGGATATTCTAGATATCACCAAGATACCCAACAGGATGGGGCTGGGATATTCTAGATATCACCAAGATACCCAACAGGATGGGGCTGGGATATTCTAGATGATATCAAGATACCCAACAGGATGGGGCTGGGATATTCTAGATATCATCAAGATATGGGGCTGTGATATTCTAGATATCATCAAGATACCCAACAGGATGGGGCTGTGATATTCTCGATATCATCAAGATACCCAACAGGATGGGGCTGGGATATTCTCGATATCATCAAGATACCCAACAGGATGGGGCTGGGATATTCTAGATATCACCAAGATACCCAACAGGATGGGGCTGGGATATTCTAGATATCATCAAGATACCCAACAGGATGGGGCTGGGATATTCTAGATATCACCAAGATACCCAACATATTCTAGATATCACCAAGATACCCAACAGGATGGGGCTGGGATATTCTAGATATCACCAAGATACCCAACAGGATGGGGCTGGGATATTCTAGATGATATCAAGATACCCAACAGGATGGGGCTGGGATATTCTAGATATCATCAAGATACCCAACAGGATGGGGCTGTGATATTCTAGATATCATCAAGATAACCAACAGGATGGGGCTGTGATATTCTCGATATCACCAAGATACCCAACAGGATGGGGCTGGGATATTCTCGATATCATCAAGATACCCAACAGGATGGGGCTGGGATATTCTAGATATCACCAAGATACCCAACAGGATGGGGCTGTGATATTCTAGATATCATCAAGATACCCAATAGGATGGGGCTGCGATATTCTAGATATCACCAAGATAGCCAATAGGATGGGGCTGCTCAATATAATGTGCTCAGATAAAGATGACCTTTCATTGACAGATCTGCTCACAAATGTAGAGTTCAATTTCAAAAATGTACATACTTGGTTTATACAGGAAATACGCCGTTTATACAATCCCATCTGCCATATCGTGGATTATATAGCTATATCACTTGAGTAGAATAGTATATGTCTATACAAAGCCTGTAAATTTGTTCATACTGTCCTGTCTATGGGCATGTTTTAGGTAAAGCATTATTCCTGGGTAATTCCAGTACCAGCAAACACTGGGCTAAAATGTTCAAGCAAGGAACCACCTAATTCTACCCAGCATATGGCTTGCTGAAACAATAATCCCAAAAATATGTGACAAGTACACTATAATACCAACTGATCATTGAAAGAATACAGTTAAAACATTTCTTACCTCAATACTACTGTTCAGTAAGTCAAAACTACAGGAGCAATTTGATGTTAGACTGAAATGCCTATGGTTAATACAAATGCCTAAAGAACACAGCTTCAAGTAGCTAGCTTTACTGTACATATACTGTGACGACATGCAAGGGAACGGTTAGAGCATGCAAAACTGGCAAATGTCTAATAGCTTAGTGCTCCTGGCACAGTTAGAGAAATTGCACACAAACACTTTTTTTTTTCTTCATATACAGTACTAATCAAAGTCACGATTGGTTAACACCAATGGAGCAACAAGTGTCCACACGTACAGAACAATGCACACCCAGCTAGAAGAGATCTTCACCCAGACCGAAGGCCACTTACTAGTCATCATCTCATAAGTAGAGTCAGGACTGAAAAGATAAAAAGATGCAAGTTAATAAAACCGGTTATCCCATAATATCATACTTATTAAAAGAATCAAACTAATCAGCGATTTGTAACTATGATGGCTCTAAACCCAACATGTCTTTGAGGTTTGATTATCTTCATAAAAACACCTTACAAACATGTGTCCATTAAAAAAAAAAAAAAAAAAAAAAAAAAAAAAAAAGGGGAGGAGGTGGGGGTTAGCCTTCTTTTATGGCAAAACGGAATAAACTGATTGAAGAGATTCTGTCCTCAGTTGGTCCACTCAGAACAGAAGCTCCAGCTGTCTGACTTCAAGTATACCCCTCACTGGCAGTTTCAGCAATGTGATAGAACTCATCACGAGGTTGTGCTGGGAGGCGCTTGCTATCATAAAGACACAGTGGTGAAACGGTCAGATCCTTCAGAATGTTTTTCATTCCACGTAAACAGAATAGATTAGGTAAACAATCCTATCGATTTTGATTAACTTATAAAATGGTTCAAAAGAAACTTCAACCTGATGACAACATTTCAAACGATAGGCATATATGACTTGAATTTCGTCTGAAACAGCAAGAATTTGAAGTTGTGTTTGGGGCCTGTCTAAACCACCCACTTTAACCACTTCAATACCAGGCACTCTTACCCCTTTCTGCTCAGGCCAATTTTCAGCTTTCAGCACTGTCACACTTTAATTGACAATTGTGTGGTCATGCAACACTGTACCCAAACTAAATTGTTATCATTTTGTTCACACAAATAGAGCTTTCTTTTGGTAGTATGTGATCACTACTGGGCTTTCACATTTTGGCTAAATAAAAAAAAGGCCAATGACTTTTGAAAGAAAAAAAAAATTTGCATTTTTCTTTTCAGTTATAAAAGTTTGCAAATAAATAACCTTTCTTCATAAATTTAGGTCAAAATGTATTCTGATACATTTCTGACTGGTGACAGTCCAATTTTTTTAAAAACGTTTTAATACGTGTTTGTTTTTTTATAACACACTGTGACCAGAGTAATATAATGTTACCGTAGTAACATTGTACTACTCTGGGGAAACTATCAGTATTTTGTTTTTTACACATTATGATTGCCTATAGCAATGAATTTCAATGCAATAAGCAAGCATTTTACTTTTATTTTTTCACAATTTTTTTTTTTTTTTTTTTTTAGTACATACTGTCACCAGTGCAGTACAGCATCATCATACAACTGGTGTGGTGGTGATTAGAGACACTGGTGACAGTACGAAAAAATGTTATTACTTATTTCCTTTTATAATTCTTTTTTTTTTTTCTAACACACTGTGACCAGAGTAATATATTTTTGCCATAGTAACATCAGTTTTTGTTTTCACACATTATAATTGCGTATAGCAATGAATGTCATTGCTATAAACAAGCATTTTACTGAATTAAATCAATTCATTAAGTTTATTTTATTGTGATTAGCCAAGGTCTGTACCATGTGATCACTGTGATTAATTATAGCTAGCAACACAAATTGTATACAATGGATGGCATGAAAGGAAGCCATCCATTGTTTACAATTGTCATGTGACCTGCTGTGATTGGTCACATGGTACCAGCAACGAACCGGTACACAGCTCAGGCATTGGCTGTGTCCGATGGACACAGCTGGTGACAGGTCTCGCTGCAGCACGGCCCCCTGCGCGAGGCGGGATCTGGGGGACGTAATAAGACGTCCACCCAGATTGACGAAAGACCCGTCCGGCTGTCATTTAACTATAGGCCGGGCAGGAATTGGTTAAAACACTTCAAAAGAACTGGGTGGAAAGCTGGCAGCTGAACAGTGACTCTATCCTATCAGATAGTGTCACTGTTCAGCTATTCAGATAGCTGCAGGAGCTGTGGCTGTTTGAAAACAACAGCTTGCAGTGCAGACTCCTCAATCCATGCTGTTTTGCATATACAGGGGGATTTCTCTTTTTTAGTATGGCTATCATAATTACTTAAGAATTCTGGCATATTTGACCTGCAGCAAAAAAATGAACTAATCTATAACCACATGCAATATTGGCACAATTTAGGTCTATACAGTCAACATCTTCTAGGAACACATACCTAAATGTAATTCTGTTGGTAATATCAAAGAAATCCCATTTTTTTGTTCATACAGTACAGGACATATTCACATTCAAAGACAACAGGGTTATCCCAGGACAAGAACAATAAGAAGAGGGTAAAAAAGGCAACAAAACCCAACAGACCCCAGCAACAACCAAAAAGGGTCCAGTACTGAATTCAAACAGCAACCTTAAGCTCCTTGGCACCCAAAGCAGCAGAAGCCAAAGCCTAAACAACCACCCAGTAAAGGAGACACCACCTTAGAAAGATTACCCTATACTTGTGAACCATCAGAAGGGCTCCCTTGAAGATAAGGCAGGCAGCTCCAATACCCTCTTAGTAGAAAACCACAATGGGTAAGGTCAGACAAGGATATACCTCTGATGGGCTCAAAGGGAGGCACCTGCAATGCCAAAAACACCAGATCCAAATCCTAAGGTGCATTTGGGAAGCAATATGTGCAATCCCTTGAACAAAAGGATAGTCAAAGCTGAAGTGTGGCCATTGATTGTACTCAGGGCGAACTGATGAGCCAGCCCTGCTTTGAAGAAAAGGCAGAATACATCCAATAGAGTACTGGAGACTACTAACCTTCCACTGTTCACACCAAGCATAATGAGCCTTACCGGAGCAGTGATAGACTTTATGAAAAGTCAATTTCTGGCACTCAAAAGTGTAGGGATGTCTGATTCAGCCAGACCTCTAGTCTTTCAGGACCTGGGCTTCAACAGCCAAGCTGTCAAGGCCAGCGACAAATAAGCAGAATAGAACACCAGACCCTAAGACAGCACATCCAGGCGGTCTGGTAATGGCCACGTAATGCCCTCCAGAAGCCAAAGAATGTCTGCATACCATGCCAATTTGAGGTCACAAGGATCTCTGGGATGCCCTCCGGCTTGATATGGTGGAGATCCGGCTCTCAACAATAGGTTGTTCTGGAACCCCACAACACAGACACCCTGAGAATGAAGTATAGCAAAAGACCCAAGAGGCTATGGAGAGGCAAAAGGAAAGTGCAAAAATTTTTAGAATTTTGTTTACCTAGGGAAAAATGCAGTAAGCATTGATGCAGAGGATAAAGGGGGTCATGCTAATAAGAGCATCTCATGTCCAGAGAAGCCAGGAGATCCTCTTGACGAAGGGAAGCAGTGAATGACCTGGCAGACACCATGTGGAATATTTGGATACTGGATAAGTATTTGTTGAGATGAAAGATAGTACACATGTCTCCATTGAGTTTCAGGGCCATGAACTGAACAAGTTGAAGTAAACCACCTCCTTTAATGGGTGCAATGACCTCCAAGGAAAGAACCATGCCAGGTCACATACCCTAAAACAAGGGCCTGGCAAGGCACCCTGTCCCCATGTTGATGAGAGCAAGGGCTTTTTCCCTACAACCCTGACCCAGTGGGGGAGGGGTGGGAGGTGTTATCAGAATCTAGAAGTCGTCGTTAACCATAAGGGGGCCCTAAGACTCTGCCCTCCCCTCATGTAAATGAGAAAAGGGTACACAGTACAGGCACTCAATTCACAAAAAAAAAAAAAAGTCCCACAATGTATTTTTAGCTTTCAAACATGTTGTCAAGTGATGCAGGACCATGTCAAGCACCATAAATGATGCCAGCTGTCCCATTGTTTATCTTGTGCTGAATGACATCTCTGGGTCCCCGCCACTAAAATAAAAAGGTCAAACGGTTGGCTACCTGTGTACTGTATTGTATGAACAAGAAAGAAGTTTGCACATTTTCACATTAAAAATCGGAATACATCACTAACATGATAGTAGTACATCTAACTCACCTGTACCAGTTAGTAAGGGTCATCATAATATAGAGTGAAGCCAGGAAAAGCATGAAGTGAAAGAAGGAATAGCTGTAGGTAACCCCATCACGTTCATTGTCAACAGCACGATGAGCATCATCAGAGTCACTTAGAGAACCATCACTCCTGGTTCCATCCTCTATAAGTGTGGACTCATCACTGGTCAAAGTCAGCTTGTTAACTTGGCTGTTATTTGAGGTCCGAATACTAAAACACACAGACAAAACATAAAATATTAGAAAAAGGACTCCCTCCTCCCTCCCCCAGTACATAAACTACTGATGCATGTTTAGATCTAACCAAATTGTTGCAAAAAGAGGAATTTTGACTTTTCTGTAAACTCCATATCTAGAAGTACAGGACACAGGCTAAATATTCATACACCACATGTTGTAGGTGTAGATCTTCAGGTGACTGGACAGTGGTAATGCTTTAGAGGACACTCCCTCTGCATACCTCCCCTCTAACCCTATTCCACTTTGTGAGTCCCCAGTTTGTTAGCAAGCAAGGAACTGACCAAGCGGTGGCCTGTGCCGTGGCCTGTACTGGAATTTATAAACTCTCTATTCTGACACAAACGAACAAGACTTTAATTATGTATGAAGTAAAAAAACAATTACATCAGCTCAGTGCCAAATGAAAGGGCAATCAATGGACTGAGTTTGTCAAGAATTTCACCCCTTGCCACTGCTGCCATAATGAGCTCCCTGGATACCTGCAGACAGTGTGCCAAAAGAGGTCAAACAGAACAGTGTTAAGTGCTGTAGTTACTGACTAGCTGTAGTTATTTACTAGATGGAGGTCAGTGACTCAGTCTGCTATCCTTACTACCAGGACATAGTGTCTCAGAAGTTCAGACACTGGGGGGAAAAAAGAATTACAGCCACTCTTACCGTGTAGATGACAGGGCTTATAGTTTGGTTACATATTCACAGCCCCTAAAGTATCCATCAAGTCAAATATCAGAACTCACAATCTAACATAACACCACTACCACCAAAAATCCTGCACATCACTGACAAGAAGCAAAACAAATGTAGGTTAAAGCTACACATCACAATGTTGGGGGGGGGGGGGTTTGCCTGGTCACTCCATGCGCATGTCACATGAAAAGTTTAGGTTCAGTGATATTAGTATTACAAATTCTGGTGTATTACATTTTTGGTGCTTAGGGATTGAGCATGTTGTGGTAGCAGATGTAATAGGGATGGAGGAAAATGGGAGCACTGGGGTATATCACTCTTTAATATTACAAATTTTAACCATGATTTTTACTGAAAAAACTACTTTGATGAAGGTGAACATTCATTCTAAAATGCCACATGGATACTATTCAATGTGCCTTTTCTTTACCTGGAGTACAGGACGCAGAGCAGAAAGAGGACAAGTCCCACAATTCCTTGAGCATCCCACCATTGCACAACCTGAACCTGTCCTGGAGTAGTTGTGGTATTGTATCCAATTATGCCAAGCAGGCTTGGATTGCATTTGCGATCTTAGAGTGGGAAATAAAGGAAAAAAGTATCAACTATGTATAGTCATAAAGCATGTGCACCTTTTTCTTCATAATAACATAATATTATATGAATACCTGGTTCATTAGTCATGGCTGACCAGGTCAGATACATTGTGTAAATGGTTATCACAGATGATTGTAGAAGACCGGATCTAGGCTGAGATTCCTATGGGGTAAAAAGAAAAAAACAAATGAAATATGAATGTGCTATAACAACCTTAAAGTGACACCCTTTTGCAGCCACGGGTGTTAAGTGGGCAGTAACAGCTTAAAGGATAAGTTTACCCATTTTTTTTTTTTTTAATTGTGACAGTGGGTGCCGGGGGGGAAAGATTCCCTTGGTTTACATTCGGGACTGGGTGGTGGTGTGGTGGAGGGGGGGGGAAAGGAAGAGGGGGCTGCTCATTAAGTAACATGTTACGCCCTAAATATAGGTGTAACATGATACTAAAGGTGAACTTATCCTTTAACCACTTCCACCCCACTTTTATCCCCTTCCTGTCCAGGCCAATTTTCAGCTTTCAGTGCTATCACACTTTGAATGACAATTGCGCGGTCATGCAACACTGTACCCATAAGAATTTTTTTGCATTTTTTGAGACAGATAAAGCTTTATTTTGGTGGTATTTATTCACCACTGGGATTTAAAATTTTTTTTTTGCTATGTAAATTAAAAAGTCCTAAAATTTTGAAAAAAAGTGTTTTTCTTATAAAAATTTTGCAAATAAATAGTATTTCATCATAAATCTTGGCCAAAATGTATTCCGTTATATTTTTAGTAAAAAAAAAAAAAAAAAAAAAACCCAAATTAGTTTATAACCAAAAATTATAATTTTTAAACATTTTTTTTATATAAATTTTTTTTTTTTTACATACTGTCACCCTAGCAGTAGTGTCGCCATGGTGACACTGTACTACTTGTGGGGTTGATGAAGATTTTTTTTTTTTTTTTTATACACGGATTACTTTTACACCCATAAAGGATGTAAAAGCAATCATTTCTCCTTCTCTCTAGCTGCATTCTTGCAGCCATTGAGAACTACTGAGTGAGCTGTGATTGGTCACAGCTTGTCACATGGTACAAGGCTGTTGTGAATAGCCTTGTACCATGTGACCTCTGTGATCATTCACAGATTTCACACGTAGTAAGCAATGATGTCACAAGTGACATCTTGCTTACTACTCTGCATGTGATCACTGATTGGCCAATCAGTGATCACATGATCGGGACCTCGTACAGAGGTCTCGTCCGACGATTGGTGTTCCACTGTGCCCGGGGGACACAGCGGGCACCGGATTGTGGTGCTGCGCGCTCCCAGGGAGCGCGCACAGGCAGGGTGCAGGGAGGCCGTTTATAAACGGCCACCCGACCCTGCAATGCCACCGTCCGGCTGTTTATATACAATGGCCGGAAGGGAGGTGGTTAAAGGTGAGCATTGCAGCAAAGTCTTTTTTTTTCATCTTTAATTTAAACTTTATCTTCCCAGCTATTTTTTTGACTGGTGTTCTGCTTTAATTACAGTGCAGCCTATACCCATCAAAAATATCAGATAGATGTGATGATAGGGTTTTATCTGCTACAACACCATACCTGCTGTGTTCACAAAAGGCAAAATCAACATACCTGGATCTTAGGTAGAACAGACATTACAGAGGCTCCGATACACAAAATCATATTCACGCTGATAAAAGCTTTGTTTTCAGCACAGCCTTCGGGATGAGTGTAGTAGACATAGAAAAGCACTATTGCAACCAGTGATAAGGCATAGTTAATGCCAGTAGCTGAGAGCAAAGCTATGGAAAAAAGGGTAACAGACAGAGAATCAGTATTCCATTATTTCTGTGTTTTTATGTCATCTGTTATCCAACACACAATTATATCTATATGTTATATGTGCAATTTGAGAACCATCATCACATTTTACATAATTTATAACATTTGTAAAAGCATTTGGGTGTTGCTCACCTGCGTACCAGCATCGAGAATTCCCCTCTTCCATCTTTTCAACCCAGGATTCATTCCATGAGTGAGCAAAATCAATCAGCAGTACAAGCTGAATAAGAATGAAGCAAAATGCACCACCCATACCAACATAGAACCAGACTGTAATCAGGAGGAAGCAACAATAAAAAGTGAATGTCAGGGCAAATTAAATTAAAGGAAAAAAAAAATCAGTTCATCCCATTACATGCACATTTCCCCATATTTTATCCCTTTGAAAATGCTACAAAAGTACATAAATACACCGGTTGATCTGCCAGAAATCCAGTGTGTTCCCAACTTCCTATTTATGTAGGACAGCACAGTTCCTTTGCTGCTCAGAAATCCCCACCAGCATGGTAAACCAAGCCTGCTGGACTACAGAATTATGCCTATCCACCAATGCATTCTTTCTCTCTGCACATAATTAGCTTGATTTTCCCAGCAAAACAATATTGCTGTCTTGACTCCACAAAGCATGCCCACACTCTGTGTGTAAGGACAGGGCTCTTAATAGACGTATCTCTGAGACATGCCTACATCAGCAGGAACTGCCTCTCTCAGCAGCTGCCACTGAAAGCATTTTACAAGCCTGCTGATGACATCACAGGGGTGCAATAAAAGCCATTTGTCGCTAATGAAATAAAGTTAATGAAAACAATATTATGCTGGGACATGATTTATGTAAGAAGAAGGTGATTTGGGGGGGGACATCTAGGTCATGCCTAAACAAATCCTTTAACCACACTCAGTATAAAAAAATCTACATCAGTTTTCCACGCTACATTCCATAAGGCTAGGTTCACAGGTTTCCCTGTGGCTGCGTTGCTCATGCACAGCAGCCCATTGATTTGAATGGGCTGCTGTATCCACTGAAAACGCAAGGAAAAGGTCCCTGTACCGTTTCAGAAAACGCGACCGCAGGGAAACCGCATAGGGCAGTGCGGTTCCCAGTGCAGGGAAACCATGCTGCGGTTTCCAGTGAATGGGGGTGCCATCAAAGTTAATGGTACCCCCATGCATCTCCTGAGCTGAAGCATGTTTTTCTGTGCGGATGTGTGTGTGACTACAGAACACGTGCTGACCCACAGCGGCAACCACCCTCATAAGTGTGAACCTAGCCTAAAATGTACCTGCTGTACATGTTAATGTTTTTATACAACTATAAATTACATTTTTAACAATTATACAATTTTATATTCTCTTTTTTTTTTTTTTTTATAACACAACTCCCTGTTCTTTATTAAATAAAATGTCTACACTTTCCAATACTATACTTGGAACACTAGCAAATTTAAAGGTCCTTATCATAAAAGTAGTCTTTACTACTTCAGAAACATCTTGGTTGACATGAAAGCATAGAGAACTATTGATGTTTGTACATCCGTCTTACAGCTTAGGCAACCTTCCATTTATATTTAATCTAAAGTGACCCTAAAAGCAACACCTAATATGTACAGGCTGAGCAATGCCCTACATTTTAAGCCATCCTATTAATGAATAATGTGTATAAAAGCCTGAATCACCTTTCTACGCCAGTTGCAAAATTTGGCTTCTACTCATTTGAATAGACTAGTGTTCCCATGTAACCCTCCCCCACCCCCTAGTAACCAGTCTAAATTGAGCTTCAATTAATCTGACTACACCAATATTTCCTAGCTCTGGGTTGCTCTGCACTAAACACATCTAAAAAGTGTATACACAGTCAGGGGCGGACTGACCATTTGGAAACTCGGGCACTGCCCGAGGTCAGTAGTGGGCCCCATGAGATGCCCCTGGTGCCTTTTTCATAGGCTTTTTTGAGTTTGGGCAAGGACACAGGGGCCCCATGATCCCCTATTGTCCGAGGGCCCCATGAGTTGTCAGTTTGCCCCTGTACACAGTATACATATCAATAAAAATGGAAAAGGCTCACCTGTTGTAAAGGGTCCTTCTGGGATGAAAAATGCACCAACAGTAATTGCAATGGCTGCAGCAAACTTAAAGAACCAAAAGCTGGGGAAAGAAGGTATGAATAATCAGGGAAATTAAACTTCATCTGAATGGTATACCTATATCAAATGTAATTTTCACTTCTGTGTTGAAAACAATGTAGGCACTTAGATATGACCTTAGCACTAACAGGTAACACATAATAGCAGTACACTAGTAAATCACAGTTACAACCCAAGAGGAATTTGCACTACCCACACTTAGTGAAAATGAATAAATGCTGCCAACATCCAAGTGGCAAAAAACACCTTGAAAACAAATTACCATGTAAATGATACAGCTCACTCTCTCTAAAACATAACTCTGTGCTAGAAGGAAAAACAAACGATATACTACTATGTAACAATATGTAAGTTATGTTGTGCAAACAATAATATATAAAGTCAAATAAAAATATTGTATATTTCTACAAATTCTCTGAATTATACCTGAAGAGCTCCAAAGTGTGCTTTTAAAGTAATATTGAACCCTCAGTTATTTTAAAAGCCAAGCCAAGTTCACCTTTGGTAACATGTTACACCTGAATTCAGGATGTAACATGTTACTACAGAGTACCTGCCTGCACTCATCTGATCCCCCGCTGTGACAGAGGGCAGGGAATCTTCTCCCTGCTCTTGCTGTCACAATTTTTTTAACCACTTCAATACCGGCTATTTTCACCCCTTCCTGACCAGGCCACTATTCAGCTTTCAGCGTTGTCGCAATTTGAAGGACAATTGCGCGGGTCATGCAACACTGTACCCATCTGAAATATTTACCATTTTTTTGAGACAGATAGAGCTTTCTTTTGGTGGTATTTAATCACCACTGAGGATTTTTATTATTTTGCTAAACAAAAGGTGAACAAAACCAAAACGTTTGAAAAAAAAACACCCACCCTTTTTCTTGACTTTTGTTATAAAAATTTGCAAATAGGTAATAAAAATTTTCTTCTTTACTGATGTGCGCTGGTAGGCAGCATTAACGGGCACTGATGAGGCGGCACTGATTATCAGTGCCCTGATTATCAGTGTAAATGTGACAGTGAAGAAAGGAGATGCCGATAACCGACATTTGTTTACATGTGATCAGCTGTGATTGAACACAGCTGATTGCATCGTAGAGAGTCAATGTCATTGACTCTTTACCCTGACTGGTGATGTGCTGTGTTAAAGGGACACAGCTCATCAATGCTCTGCACGCCCTTGGGGGCGCACATGAACGGCATGACTGGGAGGACGTCATATGACATCCACCAGGAGAAATAAAAGGTCCATCTGGCTGTCAATCTTGTATTGGCAGGGCGGAAACCAGTTACAACTACCGTCTGCCATAGCAGCAGATGGATTGTAGTTCTCAATTAAACAAAGAGGGCGCTGGTGAGCACTCTTGCAGTTCACTGATCTCCTTGCTCTCCAATAACTCTGTCCATATGGGAGGTATGGGAAGAAAGCTATACTGAGAGTCTGCAGGAGCCTGACATTGCACTGTGGTCTGCTGATCTCGAGTGCAGTGCTCTGCAGGCTCCAGAAAAAATAAATACACATTTTTTTACCTGCAAAAATGTGTGCATTTATTATTTTTAATTTAAGGTGAACTTAGCCTTTATCCAGTTGTAGACTCTGGATGTGATGGACATGCCCAAAAAATGTCATCATTGTACACAGGGTGTAGGTAACACGTCCAGTCCTTCTGCCCTGTTTTCAGGACCTCCCCTGTCCCACTACTCAGAAATTCAGCTCTGACTATTCAAAGCAGCAGTGCCAGTACACAGAGAAAGTTCTGACAGCTGGAGCGGTCAAGAAAAGCAGTCTGACAATGTATATCAACAACATTGGTCAAAAGAAACAATGTTTCATTTTGTATCTGTTCATTCATCTACAGATCAAAGTAGTGAACTTCAATCTGCATATGAAGTCAGTTAAAGTAACCAGATAAATAAAAATAACAAATTTTGTTTTTTAATTGAATGTTCCTCTGTTTAACCCAATATTAACCCTTAGTTTACTCCAATCATCCCTAATTAACTCCTTATTCTCCTCCAATCAATATTATTTTCCTGCTGATTTTTTTGTTAGTTTTTATTTCATTAACTAATAATATTTAATTTTTTTTTTTGGTTTTGTTCGTTAATTTTTTTACAGCTTTAACATGCACTTACAAAATTTCACATTTTAAAAAAGTGGAAAAATTGAAACAAACTCTTTATTTAATTTTGCAATGCTTTGTAACAGAATCATAATTTTAGTGTCATTTTAAACAGAACAAATGACACAATAAAATTTGCTCTTTTTAAGTGCAGTAACACTATTTATTTTTAAACTAACACTGCTCAAAAAAATAAAAAGTAAGTTTTGTTGCGTTTAATTGTTAAGGATTGCGGCAAAAAAAATCATTTTTGCAAGACAATATTCACAAAAATAAATTCTTGTTTGTCCTTTAAAAAAAAGTGTCAAAAATTACAGTTATCGTTGACTAAACAGGCCCATACCAGAAATGTAAAAATTGCTCTGGTCCATAGGGGTGAACACATGCGAGAAGTGGTTAAAGTGTCAATAAACCCACTTCATTAAAAATTGATGTAAATGTTGTATTGCATGGTGTTCATACTCGGTCACCATGGGATTCATTTTCTGCAAAAAACCTGGTTGACGTGCTGTTCTTTATCTCCCTCTTCTGTCTATGTCCCCACTCAGCAGCAGACTGACAACTCATGGGGCCCCTGAGCAATAGGAGATCATGGGGCCCGTGTGTCCTCGCCCACACTCAAACCACACCCAAAAAAGCCTATGAAAGGTACAAGAGGCATCTTATGGGGTGCCCTACTGACCCCGGGCCCTGGGGCAGTGCCCGAGTTCTCAAATGGTCAGTCTGCCCCTGTCCCCAATGCAGTTGGGGATTTTAAAGAGAAGTGTTCGCAGCTACTGCACATGCTCAGCATTCAGTGTATTTCTACCCTGAGCTTTTCCTCACTATCTACCTATCACACATGTGGACGTATACACAGCAGTAAATGACAGCCCACTCTCTTCCTCCTCCTCCAAGCCCACTAACCAGCTAAAACACAATGAGGGCAGAATATTACATCTTGACTGAAGGAGGCTTTACCTCCCTGTTATTCTAAGACAAAAGCTGGAGGGGCATGATAGCCTGTGCCTGGCAGAAATTCACCCGCACCAAAAAATAATAAAGATTTCAATTCAAATATATATTTGTATGATGATTTAAAACAGTTTATTGATATGAATTATTTATTTTATGCTGTACCCTGAAGGCTTTTTTTTTTCTTTTTTGAACGTGTGACCAATAGAGGACTAGAAGCTCCTCCTGCCACTGTTTCCCTGCAGACAGGCTGGGAAAGAGCTGGGTTATGTGACAGCTGTATATTGATCAAGAAAAAGGTACTTCGACTTTTTTTTTTTTATTAAAATTACACTGCCATCATCCACATACAGAAATAGAAGGAATAATGTTAATTAAACAGTATGTGTTTACTATCACACATTAAGCACTTTCATCAGCTGATTTAATCACTGCAGCTTTATCATTTAAGCTGGCGCTATGGCCACTGAACCCCAGGTTTCCTGTTTCAGGTGGCTTCTTTCTCTTTACAGTGCTCTATGAAGCCACCCTTGCATGCAGGGGCTAGGAACAGTGCCACCCTACCCTGTGTGCATCAGCAGAAACACACAGCCCAGAAGCCTAGGTAAGGCACTCCCCATGATCCTCCCTTTTCCAAGGTAACAGACTTGCTGGAGATGGCACTGTCCTCTGTTAACTCTTTCCTGTTAAGACCAGACATTCAGGGAAGCAGCACTGAGAGAGCAGGGCTAGCAGCATTGAAAGTTGTACATTTTACAGTGATGAATTCAAAAAAATATTTACTGGGGATTATTTATTTTATTGTGCTCAACATATAAAAGTAGACGTATAGGCAAAACTTTTTTTCCCCATATTGGATAGGCTAAGGAAAGGTTACAAACCCCTATCAGTTTTTTTGTCATCTGTGTCCCATTAGGTAGATTTACATTCACGTCCTGTCCCATAGCCAAAACAGAGGAAATCTCTACAAATTAAGGGAATCCACTGTGACCAACCAGGTCAGCAGAACTAGTGTCCCCATTGGAAGACTTTCTCTCTTACTGTTCTGGTGACAATCCAATATTTGGAATTTTCTTTTCCTTTCACTTTTGATACTGGTAAACAGGACAAATAATGAGGTTGAATCTCCCTAAGGGGGGCAGTGGTAGCAATACAGGTGTTTGAATCCATATCTACTCTATTCAAAACTAGAAAAAAAAATTTTAAGCTAAAAAAAAAAAAAAACCTCTGATGGTTTATTACTACTTTAATATTCGTTCACCACTCTAATTATTGTCGTTTATTGTAAGGATAACTTAATTATATTCACTTGCTGATATATTCCAGCTTTGAACACAGTGCTTCTGCTTCCTGTTGTGATGTTACTGGAATTACTTTTAAGCCTGGAAGGGACTCCTACCACGAGCCAGCTGAGTGAACCATCCCACAAGTGAAACATATCAGATAACATGGCTTGCACTAGCCACATTCTACCTCCTCATTCTGGCACTTCTGTTTCTAGCTTCATTCACCCCTGCAAGTCACACAGAGAACTATGGAAGTTCTTGTCATACCTGCATGTCATAAGAGGCCATCTTCATGCACTTTGCTGCATTTTCATTCTGCATAAAATAGTTGTACTCAGTTTGAAAGAAATGGCTCTGAAATATTCTTAGCCCCCCTCACCATAATCTGCCTGGTTATACTTTTTTTTATATTAGTCCTTATCCACCCTACCACATAGAAGACATGGCTCCCACACAATGTACCGATAATAAGTAGCCATCCTGAAACATCTCCCTGCACTATGAAATAATTGACCTTATGATATGAATAGCCCTTTTTACCATAACCTGGCCCCAAGTCCTACAGGACGTAAGCCATGAATTCCTTACACACTACACTGATAATGGTCAACAGGTCTAAAACTAGTCTATACAGTGTTGAATAAATGGCATTAGAATATTGGGCTGTATTTGTACTCCAGTAGTTCTAGCTGTATAGTTGGCCAAGGGGCATAAAGGAATAATTTGCATGGCCACATTCAATGAACTAAAATGAGAGTGGCCACATTTTCTGGATTTAAGATGGAAGTGAGACATGCAAGTAATTACAGTTTCATCAAGGCCCTACTGTGCTTTGCAAATGATTATAAACAAAATCTACTACTTGGAATGTTTATTTTTTAACAACATTAAACTGTATCTTACCCATTATGTACAGAAGCTCGGGGATCCTGGCTACTCTTCACTTTAATCATAAGAAGAGAAAAGAGGAGGAAAAACATGGCCATCCCAAAGCACACACGGTATACAGCTTTGTATCCAACCAGCACGTCACAGTTAACATGGCCACTTACTCCTGGAATTGATGAACCCATTCCATCCTCACAAAAGCCAGGAATCTGTAAAATGGAAAGTGATTTCATAACACTTTCACAACAGTACATATCAGAACACGTATTCTTACTTTCATTTATAACTTCCAAACCTTTTTGAGATGTTCCTCCATTCCTGGAATCAACATTACGCAGGCAACTGCAACTCCAAGAAGTAAAAAGGCAGCATAGATAAGCCGAGTGACCGTGGAATTGTTCCCACTTGGGCAGCAGCGGGCACAGCAGGCATGGTGCACTGCCACACAGGCAGGGGATCTGTAAAAGATATCATGGCTTTAACACACCATTAACAACCGAATATACCAATATAAAGTCATGACCTCTACAGCAGGGTTTGCCATCTCTTTTCAGTCATGGCGCCCTTTAAAAGCATTTTCAGTCAGTCTCCAGGCACCCCAGTACCAAGGGTCGGATCACACCAGAACATGCACATTCGAGAGTGTTCCTGCGCATTTTGTTGTTGATAGCTTATTCATTTCAAAGGGCTGCCAATTGCACAGGAATACGCAAAATGTAAGGCAGATGCTACTTTTAAAAATTGTGCGGTACCATGCCATTTGGTGGCAACAAATGTGCTACGCTTGCTAGATGCATTTGGGGTGCCATTAAGAGTGAATGGCATCCATGTCTAGCAAGGGCAGTACATTCCCGTGTAATGTGGGAAACGCGCATGCACAAAAAAAGCACCTTTCCAGCACCACGTTCGGGTATGAAAAGGCCCTAAGGACTTGTTCATACATAACGTTGGGGGGGTTATGGTGGTAAAACCACATTTTTATCACCCCCCAGCTGAAGGGGCCATTAATGACGGTGCTCCAGACTGCACTGGCACAACAGGAGCTCGATCCACAGCCTCCTAACCAGGATGCCACCTCTGACAACCTTAGATGGCACTCCGGTTGAGAAAGGCTTGTCTACAGTATAACCTATAAGCTTCAGCACTTGGCTAGAGCCAGCTCTGTGATATCACAAGTTATGACCGGGGTAAAAAGCCATTCTGTAGATTTGGGGCAGAAACTTTCTTTAATGCATACACTGAAAATCCTCTATTCTTGAGACACCCTGTGTAAGTATTTATGTAAAAACAATAAAACTCTAAAGCAGGCCATATATAGATTTCTTTTTTCAGCATGCAGCCTGAGTGAAAAAACTCTTAACAGATATCTCCATCTATGTTATATGACATGGATGGACAAATCACCTACTGCGGCTATTGTATTCTAAGGCAGCCCATAGATTCCATTTTCTTCCCCTACATCATGCAGCGAGCCTACCTGGCTGCCAGAACACGATTACTGCTAGGAGCTATGGCCACTGGCAGTAATCGCATGTAGAAAAATCTGACAGGCTGGTTGTACCCAAGCCGATCAATTGATCAACTTGGGTATAATCAACCTGCCCATATATAGATCAAATCTTAGCCGGTTCAGCAGGGATCTATGTAAGGCTGGCTTAACAATCGTCAGCAGTGGCTGCATCTGATTAGATGCAGCCACTGTTTGGCTGAAAATTTTCCTATAGAAGCCTTCAATTTTTCAATCTAAGGATAACGGGCAGGAAGGCGGAGTCAGGGTCACCCACATAGCAAATTTTTCCACTTCACCAGGAACCAACCGAAGTTTGCATAGTGCATGGCCAGCTTTAAACAAGATTACTTCACCCAAGGTTTTCATTTTAACTTCAGTGAAAGCTTTTTTTTAGTGTTTTATAGGGTGGGGAATGGTTAAAGTCCATCAGGGTTTTCTTTTTTCTATGTCCCGTGGAGGACATCTCCCTTCATCTGTTCCTGTAAATGGCAGAAGGTGAAGGACTCATTCATACCATACCTGCAGAAAAACTCACCAGATTTCACTTGAAGAGACATCAGTTTACATCAATGTTCATGTGGACTCTAGTGAGTTTGCAGTGTTGCAGTTGTGAACAGGGCACATAGAAAACAATTGGGTTTTTGTGCCCTTGCAGAACAACTGACATCTCTGCACATGGTGTGAACGTGGCCTAAAAAAAATCTCTTCAGTGAAGCAAATACTCTCAGTAACCAGAATAGATGTCCCCATTAAAAGATTTCCCCTCTATTTCTGTTCCAGTGACAAGTCCAAATTGTTTATTGTCCCTCACTTTCAGTCTCGGGGACAATGGTCACTAGGACAAAATGAGGGTTAAAACGAGCATTTACCCCTTGCAGTGAGGAGTGAGGGGCTACTGCAAGGTAAGTGTTACAGCTGGCTGGAGTACAGCTTTAATGGAAATCCATACATGTGGTCTTACAAACAGATGATCAGCCTTTGACAAGTAAATCCAGTAAAGATAATTCATCTTATATGAAGAAGATCTCACCATGGAATTGAAGGTCACCAAACAGAATTTGTACACACTTCATACAGACTGAGCAGACTGGATACAGCAGGTTAAGCACCCCACAGCAATTTATGTTGGTTATACACATTAAGTTAATTGATCTTGCTCTGAACAAGTGTGACATTGCTGATCACTGCAAGATATGTGAATATGTTAAGCAAGACGTAGTGGGGGATGGTGTCACGTGAAAGTATCATGACTGGATCATTTACAGATGATGAGCTAACCACCCATAACAAGGCAGTTCAGTAGAAAAGCAAAACACAGGCAGAGAGGACTGGAGCCAAAAACCAGTAAATTCCTCAACATTCCAGATCACTAGTAACTTGAGAATATTTTTTTTAAGCAAAGTTGACAAGTAACCACACAAGTGCAACATAACAGCTCTTATACAAGTATTCTCACTGCCCACTTTCGGATGTGGGCAGTCAACACCCACCTAGATTAACCATCGTTCTTAGAAGCCACTGAAACAATGCATGGCATGTACTCTTTGAGAAGCAAATCACCATTCATTGTGAATAGCACACCAACACACACAGTACAATAGAGCCCAATATGAAATGCATACGCTGTGTATTGAAGTGCACTGGTTTTTTTTTTAAACCTGTTGTGTTGCATTGGCAGCCTATTCATAATGAATGGGCTGCCTTAAAGTGGAGTTCCACTCAAAAGCAGAAGCTCCACTTATTTGCCTCCTTCCTCTCCACTGCCATATTTGGCACCTTTTGGAGTAATTGACAGGTACCCACTCCCACTACCGGCTCACTTCACCACGATGAAGTGAGCTAGAAGTTTGGCCCCCTCCTTCCTCCCACAGTCTCCTGGGAACCTTCACAGGTCCCAGAAGACTGCCTGACCAATGAGAATGAGCAGCGCGACTCGTGCATGTGCAGTGGGCACTCGGCTGTGAAGCCCCAAGCTGTCACAGCCTAATGCCCACAGTTGTGGTGCCGGCATCGGGAAGAAAAGAGGCAGAGAAGGGACGGCACAGGTGAGCACATAGCTGGACCCTGGGACAGGTGAGTGGGTATTAAATGTCAGCAGCTACAGTTTTTGTAGCTGCTGACTTTTAATAAAACCCAAAACTGACTGGAACTCCGCTTTAAAGTGTTAGGTTAGTCAATAACTAAGCATATATCTATTCCCATCCCCATTCTAAGCCTATTTATCTACCGTGGAAAGAAAAGATCCCTATACTTACCTATTCTGAAGGTGCTCTGGTCCGGTCCAGTCCAGTCCCATGATCAGCTGTCAGTGGTGGCTTCAATGTAGAGGAGGGAGAGCTGAAAACAAATGTCCTATAGTAATCTTATGGGTAACATCTCCCAGAAATTTGCAGCTATTGTTGGTGATCTCTCCTCTACAAAGAAGTAGCTGCTGGAGAGAAGAGATAAAGTGACTGGACCAGAGCAGTTTCAGAATAGGTAAGTATACAGAATTTTGTCTTTACAGGGCAGTTAGAATGGGGTGGGAGTAGAATTAGTTTTAGCTAGATTCTTACTGAACTTTCACTTTAATGCAAAAACACATTGATAGATTGCTTTAGTGTGAATGGACCCTCTGCTTTGCTAGCACTGTGGGTAAACAATTCTGTTGCAGGTTACACTACCTATAGCCAAGAAAGACAAATCTTTGTACATAGCAGTTTAAGACAAAACTCTCTTGCTTTACACCACCCAAAACACATTCCACTATCTAATGGGGGGGTTCTGATAACCAAGGCACTTCTACTAGATAGCGGATCATGGGTGAGTGTGGTTTAGCCCTTGTATAGTGCTCCAGCAATTCCTTAATGAAAGAGGTCAGAAGAAGGTTTCGAAGTGTGCAAGCACCTTGTACCTCTTGCTCTTAAACTAGACCTGTCATTCATATTTAAAATAAAAGGCTGTTATCCCAAAAAACTTGCAAACTACCCAATAAGTCAATGATCTAGAACAATGCAGCCAGCTATGCTAAATTTTTGTGCAGTTCCCAGTGTGTTTCCCAGTTTGTAGAAATGCACTACAGTGCATTTAACATGATTTCCTATGGTTTACATATGTGTGTTTATAGCCAGTGTGTTTTCTGGAACGGTTCAGGGAATTTTTATTTTTACTTGCAGCAGTTTGCGATGTTGATTCAACAGAATTCAATGGATCATTATCAAAATGGTATTGCGTTTTCGCTGCACTTTGATTTTTCACATGCATGATAACAAACACCACCCCCTAACAACAAACTTCCCAAAAACCATAAAACACATCATAAATAAGTGTTCAAAAATCCATCAAAAAATTTGCCAGAAAAAAACACATCAATTGCAACATGCATAGGTGTGAACCTAGAGTAAAGCTTGAACTCTTCTGCATGCATGGCTAGGGACTTTATGTTTTAAAACCATGATCAAGATAATAGGCATAGCTTACAGGGGTTAATTTCAAAAATCTTAAAGCTGAGCTACACCTGTCGATTTACCGGTTAAAAAAAACAGTTACATTCCTGGCATGCTGGGAATGCTGTCACATTTTTTTGTTCTCAACCAAACTGTCAAACTATCAAACAGCTGGAGTCCTAACTGATCACATGGGCAACACCATGGCAGCTGAATGGATATATAAATCAACCCGAGAAGGGGGCAGGGTCGGATTCCATTTCAAAGCAATCAAACCACCTAGAACATGGTTAACTAATTTAACAGCAGCTTTGGTCATATTCGGTAAAAGAAGCCCTAGTATGACATGAACTGGGTCCAAAAGAACTGCAAAATCAAAAAGCGAGGTGTAGTGACTTCCCAAAAAAAAGACTAATTTTGGGGAATTCCCAATAGATGTGATATGGCATCCCCACCGATTCACCACGCCAACATTCCAGAGGTAGAGCAGGATTAATTGCATGTAATGTTTCAGGGGTAAGGTACCAGTGAAACAAAATGTTACATTGGTTTTCTGTGCCAGGTTTCAAGTGTCTGTTTTTAGGACTGACCTCAGTTAGAAAATAGGGCAGCCTTTCACATCTACTTGGATATAGGGAGAATGCAAATATTCAGAAATGAAGTCATACCTCAGAGAGAAAAAGCAGCACTAATGTAACAATTTAATAGGTGATATCTAGAATATGACAGATGCTCATTAGTTGCAGGTTTAAAAAGCAGCACTAGAAACTCCTTAAAGGATTTAAGTTTCTATCACAGGCAAGAATACAGAGTAGAAGTAACTCGGCTACTTGCTGTTTACAGAAACAGTTCTAAAACAATTATCCCCATTCTGCTGAAACATTTCCTCATCACGTGCAAAAGTCCTGGCTGCATCTGATGAACCTGTTTTGATGCATTAGACAGCCCATTCAAACGAATAGGATGCCTTCACACGATGCACATTAACGATGGACATAATGTGCGTGCACTGATGTACCACAATGGTGTGAATGGGGTCCATTGCTATCTATGTGTGTAATAACACATGTATATAGCTGTGTAGAAGTGGAAAACCCAGTTACTCCTGCGCTCGGGGATGGACTCTGTCATTAGGACCACATATGGAAATTCTTGGGATACGCACACCTTGCTGCCCTCAAATGACCGGGGAAGTCCAAAGTAGAGAAAAACAAACATAGGGTGCACTGACCTAGTGCATTACCTTAAAAAATGTTTAATGACTGTAAATAATAAGCATTGTACTCACAAATGATCAATAAATACAAGGCACATCATAAAGGAACAGCTCTGTCCAATTCGCACTGCGTGTCAGTCTGTAGGACTAGCCTCTTCCTCGGAGTCATCCTTTTGGAGTTCTCACTACAGAATGACACGCAGTGTGAATTGAACAGAGCTGTTCCTTTATGATGTGCCTTGTATTTATTGATCATTTGTGAGTACAATGCTTATTATTTACATTCATTAAACATTTGTTAAGGTAATGCACAAGGCCCTCTGTTTGTTTTTCTCTAATATGTACATAGCTGTGAATGGGCCCTTAATGACCCCGTAGTCCTTTCTTACTATGTGGTGACATCCTTTTGACATAACTCACAGATCATCAAAATTTGTCCAATATTCCGCAATCAGTAACAACATATACATACTACATCCAGTGGGTGCTACACCCCTACAATGTCAGTATAAAAAGTACTAAGTGCTCTTTAATATGATACGAGTATTTATGATAAAATGATTTTCACCATTATTTTGGGCGTGTAACTATTACAACTGTGGTAGTCACCTATAGAATGAGTTGGATTTGCTAAAGGCAAACAGACTGTTGACTTTGCAAGGGAATTTGCTTCAGAGCTTCGTAAATGAGTGAAGCCACATTTTGTAAAGAATACCTTATCACATGCAAGGGAAATAAAAATGTATGCTTTAACGAGATCGGATGTAAGAAGTCAGCCTTCAGGCAACTGCACTTGCAAAGTCAACAGTCTATGTGCCTTTAAGTAAATCAACCCCAAAGTCTTCTGTCCTTGAGTGTGTAAACATGAATTGTAAGATCTTATACTACATATTGATAAGAGTTAAGCTGGCCATATAGGGGTCAGTTTGATTTTATTCAACCAGTGGATTGAACATAAAAATCCCAATCCCCCCATCCACACACTTGATGTGGATGGGGGAGTCATTCCCTTTTTGTCATTGTATTCTGATGGCAGAGAGACTCCCTTGCTTTCAGAATACACACATCAGCATTGCAGTCTAAAGCCTGCAGTGCTAATGGAGCACAAAAATGTAAAAATCGCTAGATCGGCTTCTGTTCAACCACAGTGGCCACACATTTACTGATTGGCTTCTGTAAACCACCCTGATCAACCATTGCCACTGGCTATAGCTGGCAGTACTGATCAACGTATTCTGATAGCAGGGAAGTCTCCCTGCTATCAGAATACAAAGGCTCAGTGGGGAGGATTCCCCCATGCACTGAATGTGTGGATGGGGGAATCAAGTCAGCTTTTTTTTTTTTTTTTTTCGTTCAACCCATGGGTTAAATGAAAAAAAAAATGACTGATGTATAGGCTGCCCAACTCTTCTGTGTTTCCATGGCAGCAGGGTTTGCCCTGTCACCTCTTTTCTCTCTCCCTAATCTGTGTTCCCTCAGAATAGTCCATGTCATTCCTGCTGCTTTCTTCCCCCTTCAGCAACAGTAAATCTTAAGGCGGAACAAAACCCTCCTATCCATTTCAGTTACGGAAGCTGCCATCTTATCCCGTTTGATCTGCAACTGCCATGATGCTGCACATTTGATCAGTTATGACACCAGCCATTTGGTGGTTTAATAATTTGGAGGAGAGCACAAGCAAAAGTGACAGTTAGAATTCCCAGCATGCCAGGAATGTAATGGTTTATTGAAACCGGTAAATCGATGGGTTTAGATTCACTTTAAGCTGTCAGCTGATCGACCTCTAATGGCTCTGATTTTAGGTACAGTTCCGAAAATAGAGAGCAACTGAGCATGTGCAGTGCAGGGTAAGACAGTCTATTACTGGATTTTAAAGGATAAGTTCACCTTTGGAACATGTTACATGTTCCACCCGTTTTAGGGTGAAACATGTAACATGTTCCCATAGCCGCACAGCACCTGCCGCCTCCTCCTTCTGACAGATAGTACAGGGAGACTTCTCCCTGTATTATCTGTCAGATTTGAAAACAGTGCGGCTGTGCAGGGCTCTGCCCACACAGCTACGTCACTCATTCCCAGAGTTCTGTGAATGAGTGACTACAAGTCCATGTAGCCTTAGCAGCTGTCGGCTTGAAGTTTTCAATGAACTACCATGGCACTGTTCACTGAGGCTTCCTGTCAGAATATCTGCTTGGTCATACATCCCATATGGCAAGCAGATATTCTGACAGGTCTGCAGGAGACCTGCATGACATCAGCGATCTACTGATCATTGGTGCAATGCTTTACAGGCTCCTTTGGACAAAAATAATAAATGCACATTTTTTTACCTGCAAACAAATGTGCATTTATTATTTTTGTCCAAAAGGTGAACTCATCCTTTAAACAGTATAGACAAATACAGAGAGATTTACTAAAACGAGTGCACTCAGAATCTGGTGCAACTGCGGATGGTAGCCAATCAGCTTCTAACTTCAGTTTGTTCAATTAAGCTTTACCAATAAAACCTGGAAGCTGATTGGTTTCTATGCAGAGCTGCACCAGATTTTTCACTCTCCAGTTTAAGTAAATAACTCCCTTATTTGTAATGTTTTACATAGCTATACCTGCAAAATGGGTCAGCCTGAAGTGATCTAGCGGGACTTCATTTACTGGCTGGAGTTTCACTTTAAGTCAACACTTTTTAATTTTGGATAGACTGAAGAGGGGTCGAACCCTTGCCAGGTTTCTGATGATTGTCCCCCTCTCCCTCTGTCCTGCTGACCATTGATGCTGTGACAGCAGGTGATGGCCAGTGCTACCTTTACAGTTATCACCAGGAAAGGAGAGGAAATCTTCACATGGAGGACATGTATTCTCCTAGGTACAGAATTCCTCCCACTTCCTACTGTGTCACCAAGACAGGAAGTGAAGGAAAACCAAAAGGGACATAAACAGCACACAATCCTCTATTTATCAAAACTGGCTTTAAATCTAGTTAGCTGCTTAGAGTCACTACTATATCACATATACCAAAACTGAATCCATTTCTACCACTCTTCTTTTAGATCTACATGACCTAATGGTGGCACATGTCCCATCCCGAGTAACCCCAACCCCACCCTAGAACGAGCCCCAGTCAGTAATTACCCAGCTGGCCGCGGTGCACAGGCCCAGGACTCCCCCCATGTCGGTCTCGGTGTCGCACAATAAAAATGGAGCCTTCCTACAAAAGCCCTGTTTACAAATGAGACAACCAGAACTGGCAGACAACCCAGCCTGTCACTTCCGTCTCTGAGGCCACCTCCTCTCCGGTGGAAAATGAGCCTAACAAGAGAACAGTTTTCTTTTGCGGAGCCATTTTGTTGAAGACCACAGCAATCTCTCAGACGAAGCAGACCACAGGAAGATGGCCACCTCGGCGGAGACTACTCAGCATATCACTCTCTGCGCTCTTGTGAATAGCAGTGGGGATGTGTGAGGGTCACATGTCCGTCCAGTGTTGTGGTGATGTCATTCCAGCTGACTAATGTGTTTTTAGGTCTACTTATACTCAGTGTATACAGAGGGACAGCATTTGTAAACACAATACGTGCACAACCACTGAACGTGTGTTAAATACACACAATACAGGCAGCTATAACAAAGTAGAGCTGACTGGAGTGTCCTTCATCATTGTAATGCTCTAGAAATATTTAGAAGAAAGCAATCACAGCCCGGTCATGTGTGACTTGCCTTGCGATTCACCATGCCATGCGACTTGCAAATTAGATGGCGAGTCATACCCTATTGTCCGCAATTACAGCGGTCATATTGGTGCAATTCCCAATCAGCACGGACTATTTTTAATCTTTATGCTGCTAGTATTAAGTAAATATGATATACTTTCCTCTGTATTTACTAAGCGCAAATATACAGATTGGATGTGGTTTGAACCGCATTCCCATCTGCATCACATGTGAAATAACATTGCTTCCTATGGTGCCTGTTCACATACACTATATTGCCAAAAATATTGGGACTTCTCTCCAAATCATTGGATTCAGGCGTTCCAATCACCTCCATGGCCACAGGTGTATAAAATCAAGCACATAGACATACAGACTGCTTCTACAAACATTTGTGAAAGAATGGGTTGCTCTCAGGATCTCAGTGAATTCAAGCGTGGTACCATGATGGGTTGCCACCTGTGCAATAAGTCCATCCATGAAATTTCCTTCCTACTAAATATTCCACGGTCAACTATTAGTGATATTATAACAAAGTGGAAGCAACTGGGAACAACAGCAACGCAGCCACGAAGTGGTAGGCCATGTAAAATGACAGTGCATGCTGAAGTGCACAGTGCACAGAAGTTGCCAACTGTCTGCACAGTCAATAGCTAAAGACCTCCAAACTTTGTGTGACCTTCAGATTAGCACAACAACAGTATGTAAGGGGGCTTCATGGAATGGGTTTCCATGGCCAAGCAGCTGCATCCAAGTGCAATGCAAAGCATTGGATACAGTGGTGTAAAACATGCTGCCATTGGACTCTAGAGCAGTGGAGACGTGCTCTCTGGAGTGCCGAATCACGCTTCTCTTTCTGGCAATCTGATGGACGTGTGAGTTTGGTGGTTGCCAGGAAAACGATACTTGCCTGAATGCATTGTGCCAAGTGTAAAGTTTGGTGGAAGAGGGATTATGGTGTGGGGCTGTTTTTCAAGGGTTGGGCTTAGCCTCTTAGTTCCAGTGAAGGGAACTCTTAAGGCATCAGCATACCAGGACATTTTGGACAATTTCATGCTCCCAACTTTGTGGGAACAGTTTGGGGATGGCCCCTTCCTGTTCCAACATGATTGAGCACCAGTACACATAATAACATGGATGAGTGAGTTTGGGGTGGAGAAACTTGACTGGCCTGCACAGAGTCCTGACTTCAACCCGATAGAACACATTTGGGATGAATTAGAGCGGAGACTGCGAGCCAGGCCTTCTTGTCCGACATCAGTGTCTGACCTCACAAATGTGCTTCTGGAAGAATGGTAAAACATTCCCATAGAAACACTCTTAAACCTTATGGACAGCCTTCCCAGAAGAGCTGAAGCTGTTATACCTGCAAAGTATGGACCAACTCAATATTGAACCCCACGGACTAAGACTGGGATGCCATTAAAGTTCATGTGCTTGTAAAGGCAGGCATCCCAATACTTTTGGCGATATAGTGTATGTCCAATGCACTGGCGGTGGGGATTCAGTACGGTTTGAAATGTACAATTTCTGGGCAGTGCGGTCTGGTTCAGGTGAGGATTACAGGCTATTGAAGTCTATAGGAACCATTTCTAAACTGCATATGTGTGAACAGGATAATCATGAGCTAATTCTATCCTGAACCTGCTGTAAACTTGACATGAACAAAACAAATACTGTATCAATTAGAAGACCCCCCCCCCCCCCCCCGCGGTCTTCTGGGATATGTGACAGGTCCTAGAAGACTACTGGACCATTCACTTGCACAGGCACAGTGGACCTCCAGCTGAGAAGCCTCAAGCTATCACAACCGGGTGCCCACACTTCAGATGCTGGCACAGGGGAGAGAGGACAGCCAGTGAGCCCGGCTGGTGAAGACACACCATTGGATTGTAGGACAGGTAAGTGGCTGTTTTTTAAAAGTCAGCAGCTACAGTTTTTGTAGCTACTGACTTTTATTTTTTTCAGAAGAGACTGGAGCTCCACTTTAAGGATAACTATATTTTAAAACATGATTTTATTCAGGAAGCCAAATCAACTTTGCAAATACAACCTATTTTGTCTAGTTTGTCAATGGAATTTACAAACTGCTAAGAGAAGGCAAACTCTGGCTGCAATATAGAGAAAACATTCCTCCAGAGCAGAGCTGGGAGCAAACAAGGTATCAGATCCCTCTAGATGTTCCTTTTGCTTTACAAAATTGGTTATCTAGAAACATTGGTAATCAAAGAATGGACATGCATTACCTAAACATATGCAAGGTCCGCCTACTTTTCGCAGTTTATGTTCTCAGGTGATCACAGGAGTGAATTGCTGCATAGAAATCTTCATTTATAACTTCTAGCTTAAATACATTAAAGTGTTAATAAACCCACAACAGTAAAATCAGTCTATATATTCAGAAAAGCATGCTTGTTATACTCACTGTGAAACCTAAGGTGTTAATTCTCCACATGTAAAAAGGATGTTTGATCCTCTCTTCTCTGATCCCCCCTTCTTTCATTTTTCCCTAAACACAGGTTTGGAGTCCCTGTGCAAATGCTCAGTTTGGTGTGTTATGCTAGAGAATTTGTTTTTTTCTTGGGAGAGTGCATGTGATCAGCACAGGACCAATCAGCACTTTCCAGACAGAGGGTCAAGGGTTATGCATCTTTCTAAAGGAGAATGAAAACTCTTCCTACAAGCTTTAACCAGTGCTTTGCTGGACACTGATAGAAATCACAAGACTGCTCCAACTGCTGATGAGAAAAGGTATTTAGCAGTTTATATTTACTAAATTATTGCATTTCCATGTTCTGTTTACTGTGAGAGACCAGATATAGTGAATGCAGGGTCCGGGGAGAGATCGGATATAGTGAATGCAGGGTCTTGGGTTTAGTATCACTTTAACTGCCACAGGTATTTAGTGCAGTAATCTTTCTTATCACTGCTTTCCTAAAGTCATAGTGGAGATATAGACAATATGTAAAATTGGATTCCTGAACAGGAAACTCTTGTTCTGGGGACACTACACCAAACAATTAATGAAAACTAATAAAAAATGGTGACTGAGAAGGAAAATATATCAATGCATGTACCTAGTATGGAAAATTAGGATAAATATTATTCTATTGAAAAGCATTATATATTAATAACACTTACAACAAAGTGGGATACAAGGTTCAAATAAAAAAAAAAAATGACTAGCAAGGAAGAAATAGGTTAAATATTCCAGTAAATTTTGAAACATTTGTGGGGAAATTAACGTAGACATGGACATTCTATTGTATCCTAAAGAATGAAGTAGATTTAATATACCAATGGTCTGAAGGCACCCCTTACTCAAGGACCAAACTCAGAACACCTATAATTAATATTTTGGGGCTGCTGAAGTCACACACATGTACACGCAATGTGTGAAAAATGACATCACAGGAAGAGTCCGGTGAGGTTTGAAAATAATAGTTCCTTACCCATGTGTTACAGCTTTTTGAATTAAGCCTTATATCTCCCTTAACAAAATTAGGCTTAAAAAACACATATGTAAATAGAGCAAAATTCAGACAATCTTTGCCTGAAAAAGTATATTCCATAAGTACATTTGTCACATGTAATGTTCTAATTTTTTCACTAGAGGGCACAATACATCAAGGAAATGTGTGATATTCATTAGGTGATTCCATAAGCTTTGATAATGGAAAAAGTATTTAAAAGTAGCATTGGAACAAGGCCTTTCTAAATGTAGGCCAGTAAACTTTCATGTTTAATTGTACAGATTTGCAGAACAAAATAGAGTGTTTTTCCATGATAATCCAAAAATGGCTCTCACCTTGAAAAAAGCAGGACCATTATTCTTTCGTTATATGTCTTATAGTAGACTAAGACTGTCCTCAGAGATAGTATAGTGCTTGTAAAAAATAGTATTACTTAAAGAGGAATTTCACCAAGCAAAAGCAAATAAATAAATCAAAGTCTAAACGCATTTTAACGTAATCCCAACCCTAAACCAATCCTAATATAACCCTAATCATAACCTATCCATAACATATCCCTAGGCCTCACCTAACCATAATCTAACCCATAACACTAACCCTAATACTAAACTAACTCTAAGCTAACCCGACCTTAACAACTTGCCTACCAGGAACTTTAACTCCCTTCCTACCCAGGCTAATTTTCAGCTTTCAGAGCTCTCGCACTTTGAATGACAATTGCGCACTCATGCAACACTGTGCCCAATCAAAATTTTTTTTTTAAGCAGAGCATTAAATCTGGTAGTATGTAGTCACCACTGGGGATTTTTATTTTTTACTAAACAAATGAAAAAAGAATGAAAATTTTGAAGAATAAAAATGTTTTTCTTAGTTTCTGTTAAAAAGTTTTGTAAATAAATGATTTTTTTCCTTCACTGATATACACGGTTGAGGCTGCACTGATGGGCACTGATAGGCTGCACTGGTGAGGCGGCACTGATAGGTACTGATGAGGCTGCGCTGATATGTGGCACTGATATGTGGAACTAATGGGCACTGATAGGTGACACTGATGGGCACTGTTAGGCATCACATGGGCACTGATAGCCAGCACTGATGGCCAGCCTTGATGGGCACTGATAGCTAGCACTGACAGGCATCACTGGTGGGCACTGAAAGGTGGCACTGATGGACCTACACTGATAATCAGGGCACTGATTATCAATGTATATGTCCCCTGTTTAGATCGCTGCCTACCGGCTCTCCTCTCCTCCTCTGTCAGCGTGAGGAAAGGACTGCCGATTACTGGCAAACTTTTATTATCATGAACATGTTATTTTATTAACAAAAAAACTTTTATTATCATGAACACAAATTGGCCAAAATGCATATATAGTTAAAACATTTAAAAAAAATATACCAATAGGCATAGGACCCATCTCAGATGTGTTTGTCACTATAATTATATATATATATATATATATATATATATATATATATATTTCATCCAGGTCAACCATTTTATTATTCATTTAATACAGGCACTTATATAGCGCCATCATTTTACTCAGAGCCTTACATACACATATATATATACATATATATATACCTATATATATATTCACATCAGTCCCCTAACCCTCAAAGAGCATACAGTCTAAGGTCCATAAGTCTCATTCATACATTTAGACAGGAACCAATTTAGATAGGAACCAATTAACCTACCAGCATGTCTGTGGAGTGTAGGAGGAAATCAGAGTACCCAGAGAAAACCCATGCAGGCACAAGGAGAACATACAAACTACATAGGTGGTGCTGTGGTTGGGATTTGAACCAGCTACCCTAGTACTGCCAGGGGGAAGTGCTAACCATTTAGCCACTGTGCTGCATTTTACTATTTTCTGTCATGCTTAACCCTAATGCAGGTGGTTAGGGACTAAAGCTAGCTTCTATGTTCTTCACCTATAGCAGCCCCCTTTCCCATAATGCAAGCAGGCCTACTGGTACTCAGTTTCCCCCCAAGATTTATACACAATACTATAGTGTCATACCACCACACTGAGTCAGGTGCAAACTAAACACAACAAACAGGTATATGCGGTTGGCAGACACAGTGGTTCAATGACAGTCCAGCCACAAGGCAGGCAGAGTTCAGAGTAATCAGGGTCAATCCATAGTCAAAAGGTAGGCAGAGTTCAGAGAGTAGTCAATATTCGATCCAAGGTCGTCACCTTGGGCATCCAATTTAGCAGAACAGGGCACACAAACAGGGAGCTTGCAGTACAAGTTATAAATGCAATATAACACGCATGAGACTGCAGGCTTGGCTGGCTTAAATCAGACTTGGTCTCAGAGACTGGCAACATAAATCACTTTGTGGGTGGACAGACAGACAGAGAGTGTGCATTAAAGCCAATACCAGGATGCTGGAATGAGCCCAGCAGCTGTGATGGAACAGAAGCGCTAGATGCTCCTGTTACTTTCCAGCTATAGATTCAAAAAATCAACACAATCATCAAATTAGGAAATAGGATGTTCCAGTTCATAAAGCACTATAATCCATAATATGTAAAATTTCATAATACTGGAAACATTTCTTTGTCAAACTATTTCAGTAATCTCGAGTCCTGGCAACACTGGCAATGAATTACATAGAAACCTGGAAACTCCTGAAAAAATCTAAAATGATGTTCAGAGTATTATCCATAAAGTATAACATATGGCAAAAAATCAAAATATATGTCTACCGTGCATATTGACCCAGTTCATTCACATAGATAGATTAAAATAGAGCAGTATAGTTTGAATGTGCATAAGATTGATGGATAAAGCAGACTGGAGCATAAAATTCATGTGAGCCTCCAGTACATTAGATCTGTTCTGTCTTCAGCTGGGAAATTCTCCTGCAATATTGAATTTGGCCACAAGATAGAACCCAGAATAAATTTACTGATTTGCAGAAGCCAGAATCTGTTTATTTAATAAAAGCTCTCATTATCCTTAATTCTCAGAAAAGGAACAGGTACATCCTGGGAGCTCAGATTCCATTTTAAAAACTAAGGGAAAGGAACCAGCCATAATTCTCTGCAGCATATGTTGTGGACTGAACTTACATTCCCTACAAGCAGCATCACTGGTGAGCATGGACTTACTGCCATGTACAGCCGAATCATTTCATTGTGTTTGTATGTGTCATACATTGATTGTATGTATTTCTCATTTGTTTTTCCCAATAGTTTAACCCACTCTGCTTTGTTAATAAAGCTTCAAGATTACATTCAGTCTGGCTTATTACAGAGCATGAGGTTTTATCTGCATGTCGAGTTACACACAGAGAAATGTGTAGTGAAGGAAGAACATGGTTAATAAAGCATAGCAGGTCAAAAGCAAGCAGAGTGTAAAGTATGGGAATTGCAAGAACATCTATGTATAACTGCAAAGTGTCAGTAAGCCACGTACAGTGGCAGTTCTGCCTTGTCCAATATCATCTGCACATGCTTTTAACCTACATTCTCCACTTAGTCACTCTGTAGGTCACCAGCATTTTTCAGAATCAACTGTTCATTGTCAGAGTATAAAATCTTAGAGCTTTGACGGAAATTCTGATGTAAGCTCTTCTGAAATGGAGACACCATACAACAATGGAAGAGTGTTTTGGGTATTGCCACCTCTCTTTGTTAATATAATCCCTCTTTCTCAACATGGAACCTTTAGGGGAAATATGGCTCTATTGTAAAACTAGAACCTATTGTCAAACATCATTCTAGTAATGGCAATCATTGAAAATAGTGCCGAATAGCATATTCCTTTGAGTTACCTCCCACTGGCTGCTGCTTTACAACAGGATACAACAGTGGTGTTGTGGTAAAATTAAAGTGCAAAGCATAGGACACCCTATCAAACAAACCAGGAGATGTCAGATAGCAGTGATGCCTGTAGCTCTGCCAGACAGCAAAGTTTAGACCTGCTGTCCACTTGACAGGTACATATTTCACATCTTTTACAGGGCTCCTCTACTTTTAACACTAGCAACAGGGTTTCTTTAAAATGCAGTAGGGAAAATAATTATTTGATCCCCTGCAGATTTTGTAAGTTTGCCAAGTTACAAAGAAACGAGGGTCTATAATTTTTATCATAGGTGTATTCTAATTGATAGAGACAGAATATCAACTAAAAATCCAGAAAAAACACATCATACAAATGTTATAAATTGAGTTGCAGTGCAGTGAGTAAAATAAGTATTTGATCCCCTACCAAACAACAATAATTCTGGCTCCCACAGACGGGCTATGTGCTCATGAGGTACACAGATTAGTCCTGTCAATTTAAGAAGGTGCTCCTAATGACAACTCGTTTTGTGTATAAAAGACACCTGTCCACAGATCTCTTTCTTGGGCACTACCGTGGGGAAGACCAAAGAGCTGTCAAAGGATGTCAGGGACAAGATTGTAGACCTGTACAAGGCTGGAATGGACCATCATCAAGAAGCTTGGTGAGAAGGAGACACCTGATGGAGTGATTATTCGCAAATGGAAGAAATACAAAATAACCATCAATCACCCTTGCTATGGAGCTCCATACAAGATTTCGCCTCATGGGGCAAGGATGATCATGAGAAAAGTGAGGGATCAGCCCAGAACTACATGGGAGGAGCTTGTGAATTATGTCATTCACAGTCACCAAACAAGCTATTGGTAACACAATACGCCGCCATGGATTGAAACCTTGCAGCACCCACAAGGTCCTCCTACTCAAGAAGGCACATGTACAGGCCCATCTGAAGTATGCCAGTAACCATATAAATGATTCAGGGAGGGATTGGGAGAAAGTGCTGTGGTCAGATGAGACCAAAATTTAGTTATTTGGCATTAACTCGACTCGCTGTGTTTGGAGGAGGAAAAATGCTGACTGACTATGACCCTAAGAACCCCATCCCTACAGTCAAGCATAGAGGTCAAAACATTATGCTTTGGGGCTGTTTCTCTGCTAAAGGTACAGGCCGACTGTAAAATCTTGGATGAAAACCTTCTTCCCTCAGCCAGAACACTGAAGATTAGTCGTGGATGGGTCTTCTAGTATGACAATGACCCAAAAAATGCTGCTAAGGCAACAAAGGAGTGGCTAAAGAAGAAGCACATTAAGGTCATGGAGTGGCCTAGCCAGTCTCCAGATGTTAATCCTATAGAACATTTATGGAGGGAGCTGAAACTTTGAGTTGCCAAGCGACAGGCAAGAAGCCTTAAAGATTTGGAGAAGATCTGTAAAGAAGAGTAGACCAAAGTCCCTGCTGAGGTATGTGCAAACCTGGTAACCAACTAAAAGAAATGTCTTACCTCTGTGCTTGCCAACAAGGGTTTCTCCACCAAGTACTAAGTCATGTTTTGCTTGGGGATCAAATACTTATTTTACTCACTGAACTGCAACTCAATTTATATCATTTCATATTATGTGTTTTTTGTCTGTATTTTTGGTTGATATTCTGTCTCTATTATTTAAAATACACCTATGATAAAAATTATAGACCCTTCATTTCTTTATAAGTGGGCAAATTTTCAAAATCTGCAGAGGATCAAATAATTTTACCCACTGTATATCCAAACCCATATGTTAAGAAAAATATACCCTAGATTGACTTTTATTGATTGGCTTGCTTTGATGTATTAAAATTGTTTTTTTCTGATTGTGCCTTTTTCTGTAACAGTGTGCTGATGGTTCTTTTCTATGATCTGGAGGAGTAGTATTGCCACTGTGCTCCCTCTTGCAGTGGACTACAAAATGAAATACTGATGCTCAGTGCATTGACACGTTCAGTCTTGTCTGGAGTCTACAAAATGTACCTTTAATGTATAATTCCTGATTAGAAGCAGCAGTGTTCTTTCTCACATGTGACAGGTACCTAGGCACACTCTGTCCTTCTAGCCACACAGAAGCTTTTAAAGAGTTTAATGGGAATAATTCACAGGCTCTCATTTCTGAGTCTTGGATTGCATGGATGGTACCATCAGGGAGTGGGATCCTAGATTGAAAGCTCAAAAGAGCAAAGCCCTTGACCCCCTCGTGTATTGTTTTGTTACTGTATTGTCTCATGTTCTGTCCCCCACTATAATGTACAGCGCTGAGCAAACCTTTTAGCGCTATATATAAATACTGTATAATAATAATAATATAGAAACAAAAAAAACATTCAACAGACATATTGGCCAACAGATGAAAAAGTGAGATTGGGCAAAAGAACAGAATGTCTACTCTAAGAGCTCTATATTTCACAAATCACTTGTCTCAAACTGTTTTAAAGTTGCTTGAGTTTAGGTCCACTGTCACAGTGTCAGCACAAAGAAGAGGCAGGGGATCTTCTGTAGGAGCCTTACAGTTTGACTAGGGGCGGACTGACAACTCATGGGGCCCCCGGGCAATAGAGGATCATGGGGCCCCTGTGTCCTTGCCCAAACTCAAAAAAGCCTATGAAAAAGGTACCAAGGCATCTCATGGGGCCCCCTACTGACCCCGGGCCCTCGGGCAGTGCCCGAGTTTCCAAATGGTCAGTCCGCCCCTGAGTTTGACATTTCTGCTCCAAGGGTGAGGGAATACAGCTCAATAGCTAGACAATCAACTATTCCCATGCTGTAGGCCTGCTCTATTATAACAATTCAAAATTTGAGATTCGGATTATCACAGTCAGTTTCTGACTGCCTTTCTTTCAGAACCAGAATTTCCAATAGACTGGGTTGTCCATAATTTTAAACATTTAGCTCAGGTTCACACTGATGCGGTGTGGAGTTAGCACCAGTTTCTGTGACCGCATCATGATTGCATCATGCCCGCACCCCATTCATGCGAACCACTGCGGGTATGTATATTAACGGCACCCTCAAATTGGTTCATAAAATGTGGTGCGATGTGCAGAATCGTATTGCATGGGTGTGAATACCCATGTGATCTGATTCTGGTGCGGACAAAAAAAAAAAGGGTCCTGCACTATTTTGGTGCAGATGTGGTGCGATCTGAGTCATACAAAATGTATGGCTCAAATTGCACCGCACAGAAATTGCATGTGATTTGCACAGGAATGCAGTGCTGTTCCTGTGCAAATCAAATGGGATGTGCCGCACTGCTCAGTGTGAACCCGGGCTTATACTGGTGCAAGGGTGTCACTGTAAGTTCAGCAAGCAGTCTCATTCTATGCCAAATCCAAACCCCATTGACGTCAATGGGAATCCAATGTTAAAAAAACATTAATGTCCATTTTCTAGGCCAAAAGGCAAGGTATTGTCAATCAAAAGGCATGGGGACTCGGCACTGTCTGGGGGTAAAAAAATAAATCCTGTTTAGTGGCGAGCAGTGATTTTAAAGTGGAACTAAAGCCATTGATTTAATGCTTTCAAAAAACAGTTAAATTCTGGCACGCAGGGAATGCTATCAGGCACATTTGCTTTTGCTCCAAACTGTCAAGTTGTCAAATGGCTGGTGTCATAACTGATCACGTGTGCAGTACCATGGCAGTAGCAGATCAAACAGAGGCTAAGATGGCAGCTTCCTTGGCTGTAAGAGATAGGAGAGTTTAGTTCCTCTTTAATAATGCTTAAAGTGAAAATTAAAAATGCTAAATTTGTTTAAATAACATGCATGGGTATTCCCATATCCTGCCTATGAAGTCATTCATCTGTATGATATATTTAATACAACAAAACTGACATTTACAAAAAAAGATAAGTTCACGTTTGGGAACATGTTACGTTCCACCATTTTTTTATGGTGGAACATGTAACATGTTCCCACTCCTGCAGCTTTCCCCACCTCTCCTCTCCCTCCTTGTGAAGGTCCCCTCCTGAACCACACCAGGTCACAGTGCCCTCAGTTGCAGAAAAAAATACTGCTACAATACAGTACATGAAGCTCAGATCCTGGCAAACATGCAAAAAGACAAACACCCAACAGGCAAAGTTTGGTCTGAACCCGTTTTCGGGCCGAAACTGGAGCTCATCCCTATTCTTGACTGTTCTACTGTGTTCATAGACTGTGGCATTATATATGATGTCACTTATTGTAACACATGCTAAGATACACTATATTGCCAAAAGTATTGGAACACCCCTCCAAATCATTTGATTCAGGTATTCCAATCAACTGTGGCCACCTGTGTATAAAATCAAGCACCTAGGTATGCAGACTGCCTCTACAAACATTTGTGAAAGAATGGGTCGCTCTCAGGAGCTCAGTGAATGCAAACATGGTCCCGTGATAGGTTGCTACCTGTGCAATAAGTCCATCCGTGAAATTTCCTTGCTACTAAATAATCCCCATTCAACTGTTAGTGGTATTATAATAAAGTGGAAGCAACTGGGAACAACAGCAACTCAGCCACAAAGTTGTCGGCCACGTAAAATGACATAGTGGGGTCAGTGCATGCTGAAGTGCACAGTGCGCAGAAGTCGCCAACTGTTTGCAGAGTCAATAGCTAAAGATCTCCAAACTTTTTGTGGCCTTTAGATTAGCACAACAACAGTGTGTAGAGAGCTTCATGGAATGGGTTTCCATGGCTGAACAGCTGCATCCAAGCCTTATATAATGAAATGCAATGCAAAGCATCAAATGCAGTGGTTTAAAGCACGCAGCCAGTGGACTCTAGAGCAGTGGAGACGTGTTCTCTGGAGTGACAAATCATGATTCTCTGTCTGGCAATCCAATGGACATGTCTGCGTTTGGTGGTTGCCAGGAGAACGGTACTTGCCTGACCTCATTGTGCCAAGTGTAATGTTTGATGGAGGGGGGGGGATTATGGTGCAGGGTTGTTTTTTAGGGGTTGGGCTTGGCCCGTTAGTTCCAGTGAAGGGAACTCTTAAGTCATCAGCATACCAAGACATATTGGACAATTTCATGCTCCCAACTTTGTGGGAAGAGTTTGGGGATGGCCCCTTCCTGTTCCAACATAACTGCGCACTAGTGCACAAAGGTCCATAAAGACATGGATGATTGAGTTTGGGTTGGAAGAACTTGACTGGCCTGCACAGTGTCTTGACCTCAACCTGACAGAACACCTTTTGGGATGAATTAGAGTGGAGACTGTGAGCCAGGCTTTCTCGTCTGACATAAGTGGTTGACCTCACAAATGCGCTTCTGGAAGAATGGCTAAACATTCCCATAGACACACTCCTAAACCTTGTGGACAGCCTTCCCAGAAGAGTTGGAAATGTTATAGCTGCAAAGGGTGGGCCAACTCAATATAGAACCCTACAGACTAAGACTGGGATGCCTACTCCTGAATTATAGTACATTATGATCATGGGCTGTATCATTTCGACATATTGTTTTTGATTGCTGAAAAGCCTATACATGTGTGAATGCACTTACAGTATTACTACTTCTACATTGCACTCTATTGGTAAGAGAGAGCTCTATATTAGATATATTAGTATTCCTACTGTTTGCAAGTGTTTCTAAATGTAAAGATAATATGCAGTAATTCATCTTCTTTTTGATCAATAATGTCTATCTTGTGTCTAGTGAATACGCCAGCTCAGTTACATATGTAAATTCTTATACCGAATATGTCTGTAGGCTTATAAAATAAAAATGGGACTTGGAACTTGGAAGAGTCAAGTTAGAGTGTACAGTATTAGACTTTCACATTCTGAAACACACCCAAAACACACTTTAAAATAAAGAATTTTGGAACTGGAACATTTTTTACTAAGACCATTCTTTACACAATAACTGGAAATTTAAAAATGTGTATTGTTTTCAATACAGAATGGCAACTGAGAAAAAACAGCCCAGTCAATGCTGATGAAGTCAACAAAATTGATTGAGCATAGTAAATAAGCAATATTAGTCAATGTAAGGCCTTCATCAAGTTCACTAGTCAACATAAAAGATTGATCTATGGGGTCCACTCTGTCACCCTGTCCATGGTGCTAGAATAATTTATGAGCTTAAATGTTACAGATGCTGTGAAGTCATGACATAGCTTCTAGGGAATTCGGAATATCACTCATCTCGAAGACCCTCAATTTGCATTATATGCTTTTGGCAACATGCTGCCTGGCAGTTAATCTGATTTATGTTTGAAAGGAAAAAATGCTTTTATCCCAGCTAGCCATCAGTACTTTCTACAAGATAGTGATTCATATACACTGAAGTACAGAATTTGTGTTGCAGAGGATTAACATTTTATTAAAAAAAAGGATTATGTAAAATGTAATTAGTGAAACTAAATTTAATATGCCTGATTATTTTTTGTGCTCTTAAAACCAGTAGAAATGAGAATTTCTTCTTGTGCAAAGTTTTGTGATTTATAATATATGCTTCAAAGACTAGTTCAGAACTTTGAAAGACCAGTTCTCTGTTTTTCAAGTACTGTATGTCAGTTATGTGTTATAGGTATGGTTGAAAATGGCTGGATCCCACAAAAAAAGATAAACATTTTAGGATATTTCTTTGTTATAAACAGACCTCTTAGGGTTGCTGGTATTGTTGTCTTCTAAGTGGATGGACACCAGAACCTGTAAAAAGATCTGTGTTCTGAGGCTACATCAAATTCTATGAGAAGAAGTTGCAACCCACCCAGAAGGAGAATGAGAAAGCTGCTGAATCTGCCAGCAAATACGTACATGAAAGCAAATATGTGCTTTACTTATACAGGGAAAATCAACAGGTCTACTTTAAGGCCCCCCACCCCTTATCTGCGGCACATACTCACCTTTCCTTCACTTCCCCGCTACTCTGTTCAGCCACCAGGGTCAACAAATTTACCCACCATTTCTGTATATGGAGGAGCATGTGACTGATACCATGTGGCAGGTCTAATCTGTATTGATTGGCCCAGTTACAGCACATGGCCTCAGCCTTGTGCAATCTAGTGTGAACAACTTAAACATGGCTGCCTTTCTTCACTCTTAATAGCTGAGCAGACTGGTGGAAGTCAAAGGAAAAATAACTATGTACAGTTTTGTAAGGGGTTATTATAGTGGGACAGCTGCTGTGCCGTACATTGGCAACATACAGGTTCACGTTAAATGGAAAGGTAGTGGACCTTCTACCTTTAGTAATGGCAATGGCTCAGCTTTATCAAGCTGTCAGAATCAGGGGCAGACTGACCATTTGGAAACTCGGGCACTGCTCGAGGGCCCGGGCTCAGTAGGGGGCCCCATGAGATGCCCCTGGTACCTTTTTCATAGGCTTTTTTGAGTTTGGGCAAGGACACAGGGGCCCCATGATCCCCTATTGCCCGGGGGCCCCATGAGTTGTCAGTCCGACCCTGGTCAGAATTGAATGCATGATAATACTACTTACGGAGAGTAACATTCCGTAAGTACAAGCATGATTAAACAGTCTATGTTTCTTGCAAAACATTATAAATAAATACATTTTAACTGTGGCATTATTTTCTCTATAGCATCTCTCTAAAATAATTGAAGCCTTGCAAAGTAAGTATGTTAACTGTTCATTCTTATATGAACGATCCATTTAAAGAATTGCTTTGGGATGCAGTGAGAAGATGAATATATGCACCACCTGCAGAGCTCTGTGGAGAGCAATAGTCAATGAGCCAGTAGCCTATTTTCCAGAGGATGAAAGGGAACAACTGCACAAGACAAGTGTTGCTCATGTTATCCGCATAAACATGTTTAGCAAAAAAAGCTTCACACTTCAGGTAAGCCTGTGGACTATATCAATTTATTTAACTTTTCCTGGGAGTGGATCGCAAGCACCTACATGATGGGTTTTCTTCACACAGGAAATCCTTGGCTCTGTCCAAGCTACAATTTAGCTTACATGGAACTTTCCTTCATGTCTGATGGCTAAACAACATAGGCACTGGTGCAGGCACATGTATGTGTCCTGGCACATTGGCATTCACGTATGGTTGTCGCTATCCATATGTCTAGCATTTATAAGTGTTTGGAGGTACACACACCCAACAGTGAGGTTGATGTCAAACAAGCAATTATGATTGAGCTTTCCCTGGGACCAGCTCAGAGTGGCCTTCAGCAGTATCCTGTGACCCATAAACTGTGACCTGATCAGCTATTTTGCTGTCTGTTACTGACCCTCTTTAAATTTGTTCTGTTCTCTCTCTGCCTAATGACTTCGCACATCGTTGCACGTCTGACTCTGGCCTGTGTTGTGATCATGCTCCTACTGTGTGACCTTCTGTCCACCAGCTCCACAGCTGTCCTGTTTCTGTTACCATCTGCATCAGAGCCCCCAATTACCATTGAAATCTGTAACACACCATTGGTATTCCTGCAATTCCATTTTTCCTGCACCAGCTGTTGTATCATTCGGGGTGCTTGGACTGTAGTTAATGCCAAGAATTGGCTCACATGCACCAAATATAATAAAAACTGCCTTGCATTTGGAGCAAAGGGGGATTGATACATAGCATTGGCTTCAGAAAACTGATTCTCTCACATTTAAAGGGCTCTGAAAGTGCTTTTAGACATATCAGGTTGTAACGAATGATTTCGGCTGCTAATGTTTTGATAATTTCCTTGTACTTATTCTCCCTCTCCCAGTCTCAGCTTAACTGTAAAGAGGATTTCAGGAGGCTCATGCAAAACAAAATTCGGGTACTTACATTGTTTTTAAAAAGATGCAACAATGAACACAGGGTGTCAATATTTTAAAAACTGCCTGGAGTTTAGCTTTACCCTTCACCATTACCTTTAAAGCGGAACTATACTTACCTCAGTACCAGTGATGTGGCGTCCCTCTGCTCCCTGCCCGGCCGCTGACATCTTCATGCGGCCGGCTTCCGGGTCTTGATCTCCGGCCGCTGTCATTGGCCGGGTGGGAATGACGTCCCCAGCATTGACAAATTTGTACAGTGAGCTGCAAAGCATGTCTCTTCTGTATTAAAATTCCTGCCTGTTCACCCATTTTTAATATTTTACCTAAAGTTCCAGTTTAACACTTAATCCTCTTAAAAGTGTATTTCTAAAGTGAGCCCCAAACATTTTCTAAAGTGGAACTTAATTGCATCTGAGCACCGCAAACCAAAAAAGCTATTTAATTCATTGTTAATATTCAAAGCAAACTCACCCATCTGTCCATGTCTTCATGCTACATGCTTTATTTTCCTGAAAAATCATTTTGAAAAACACCCCCTAACATTTCTGGCAGCAGCCGTCTTGAGTAAGGGCAGATGATTCATGTAGTATTTACTTCCTGGAATCCATCTGCCCTTAGCTCAGGCATTGGCTGAGCTGAGAACCCTCCCTCCCCTCATGAAGACTGCTGGGATGTATGACATCATTTGCCTAGGCAGGAAACCAGGATGTAAATGAAGAAATGTAAAAAAAAAAAAATTTAAAACAAGTAAACACAATATACTTTCCTATCTATTTACTAATGCTAGCAGCATAAGGATTAAAAATATGTTGATTGAGAGAGTGAAGTTCCACTGAAGTTAAGCAAAAAAAAACCCTTCTTCAAAGTTTTATTGATGTACCTACAATGAAGCGTGTCTGCCATTGTGCAGGCAGCTGGATCCTGTAGAAATCTTCTGTGCAGGAATTCTGGTTGGTGCTGCAGTGGTTGATAGTGCCAAATCCTCTGTGAAG